AGTTTTGCTCTTGTGGCCCAGGCTGGATGCAGTGGTACTATCTTGGCTCACTGCAACCTCTGCCTCCCGGGTTCAAGCGATTCTCCTGCCTCCACCTCCAGAGTAGCTGGGATTACAGGCATGCACCACCACGCCCAGCTAATTTTTGTATTTTTAGTAGAAACGGGGTTTCACCATGTTGACCAGGCTGGTCTTGAACTCTTGATCTCAGGAGATCCACCTGCCTCAGTCTCCCAAAGTGCTGGGATGACATGAGCCACTACGCCTGGCCTGCCCAGCTAATTTTAATTAAAAAATTTTTTTTTGTAGAGAGGGGCGTCTCACTATGTTGTCCAGATTGATCTGGAACTCCAGGCCTCAAGCAATGCTCCTTCCTCAGCCTCCCAAAGCATTGAGATTATAGGCGTGAGCCAATTGGCCTAAAACTGTTTTGTTTTGAAATAAAGGTAAACCATAAAAATGGGTAGGCAGGTGAAAATTTTGGTCAGCCTGCGGATTATTGTTATTTACCCTGAGTCTTGCGTTTATTAAGCATCACTATGGGTTAAGGGCTAGGCAAAGCATTTTAAGTACATTCTTTACTCCTTGCAATTTTATTTCAATTTTTCAGACAAGAAAACTCATCTATAAAGTCAAAGACGGTAGATAACTTGCCCAAAGTCAGCTGTGGGAGAAGAGAGGTGCAGGATTCAGCCCCTTGTCCGTGACCACAGCGGCTCACCTGGACTCGGGCGTGGAACTGTCCCCCGTACAGGACCGTTGCGAGTTCCTGGTGAGGACACTCCCTTCCAATGGACAGGACCGCGCAGACGACAAAGCCCACGGAAAGCGTCTCTTTCCGCGCTCGGCCAGCCTGGGCTCTGCGGCCCAGCAGCAGGCGCTGTGGTTCCCCGCGTCCCTCCCGGGCTCCCGCGGCGCTGTGCGGAGCGCACTTGGCACTTGTTCCCGGGCGTGCCAGCGCCCTGCGCGGCGGCCCAGCAGGCCCAGGCTCAGACTCAGGTCTGCGCCGTTTCCTCGCCACCCTCCCCCGAGGGAAACGGTCCTGATCCGTGTGTCCATGCTGTTTTTTTTTAAAGACAGGGTCTTGCTGTGTGGTCCAGGCTGGAGTGCAGGGGCGCCATCACGGCTCACTGCAGCCTGGAACTCCCAGGCTCAAGCCATCCTCCCACTCAGCCTCCCCACTAGCTGGGATTGCAGGCGTGGGCCACCGCGCCCGGCCTGTTTTTGTTGTTGTTGTTGTTGTTGTTGTTGTTGCTGTTTTGAAGAGACGAGGTCTCCCTATGTTGCCCAGGTTGCACTCGTGCCTTCTTACCACGGCCCCTCTCCTCTCGTCGGTGCCACTGGCGCACTGTCCCCAGGGTCCGGGCCGCCCTGGCCCGCAGTGAGTAAGGGAGCCACAGGCTGCGGCCTGGGCCTGTTTAACATTTCCCTCCACAGGCCGCGACTGTCTTCCCCAAAGTGTCCATCACGACAGGTGTTTGCACTTGTCTGCAATATGGGAAACTCCCACCAATTTGTGTTTGGAGGAGCTGAGTTTTGAGTTCTGGGTGTGGAGCTCTGAAAGCTTTCCGAGCCCCCAGGCCGGCGGCTTGGTGTTATACTGTGTCCCTGGGAATCATCTTACACCTGGGTTCATAAAGCAGGAAGGCTGCAGGTGGGAAATGCGTTCCTTCTCAAGCACTGAAAATCAGACGCGTTCCAGTGCTGCCAACGGTGTCACAGAGGTAGATAGAGGGGGCCCCTGACATAGAATTCCATGCGGGACAGCTTCCCAAGAACCACAAACTCCAGCCTCCTAAAGCAAAGATCTCTTTCTTGCTCTCATGAAGCCCCATGGGGCTTGAGAGAAGGCTGCTCAAGGGGGGACTTAATGAGACAGGAAGAAGGTGAACTTTTATATTATTTCTTCAGAAGAACTCGCTGCAGGCATCAGCAATGCTTGAACCCTGGGAGAACGTGTGTTTTCACTCTGGGGAAAGCCTGTGAGAGATGGGACGGCCCCTGCAGCGACTTCTCAAACTGCTTCTGTTAGGAAAAAAGGTCTTCCTCCTTATTATATCCAAGATAACAAAAAGTGTGATTTTGAATACCGGCTTAGGGAATCTGTCAATGAAAACAACCCACTGCAGAACTAGTGGTTTAAACTTAAGGCCACTTTTATTATTTTAGAAAATGTTTACTTCCAGTTACAGTGTAATCCAGGAAAGACACTGTGAGGCACAAAAATTAAGTTTTAGTAAGAGTTTTGCAAATATATGAGCTAAATGAACATTTACACATCAAACAGCTTCAAATATGGTACTTTCTGGAAACAGTTTGTTGCTTTGAGTGTTATTCAAATCCCTAACTTGTTTGCCTTGTTATGATGTTCTGTAATGTAAAGGGGAAAAAATCTTTTGGTCAGAAACCTTAGAGTGAGTCAACCCAAGATTTGCACTGTAATATAAAATTAGGAAGAAAAGTGCCTTGCCTGACCTTAAATGTACAATGTCCATATGTTACATTAAAGGTTATGTACGATATCCTCAATTTGTGGGAGTGGCACGTCGTGATGGTGGCAGGACTCTATTTATCTTTGGAAAATGTATTTACTCTCTTAAATCATGCAGTACTCTCTATAAGTATTTATTTTGGTGGAGATTCATGAATTAGTGTTACAAATATCAGAAGTTCAAAAAATTCAGAGAAAAGGACTTTATTCAGTAATACAAAATAATTAAAGTGTTAATAATACTTTTTAAAAAGCCTAAAGTGAAAGGAGACCTAAACCCTATTGGGTTAATTTTTTGTAAAGTGATGTTTAAATGATATTCATAGTTATTATTCTAGGTATTGTTGTGTAGGAATTCTATGATCTATCCACTTACTTGTCCAGAGTTGAAGAAATCCAGGATAAATGAGAGAGATGCTGTCTTGCTATTTTTCTTTTGTAAATTTAAGGATTTCTTGGTGTCAATTTTATTAAAAAATACAAGAATAACTCAGTAAAAGTTTAAAAAGGAGAAAGTGAGTGATAATATAAGAAATAGTTTTAGAATTTAAAAAATGAATTTTGGTACTGTAACTATAGTGATCTTTAACATTTTATAAAAACAGGGATCTAAGAAGTAATTGTATACAGCAGCTTAAAAACCATGTATGTAAATATAATACTCAAATGCTATAGGTACAGCATTTGAGTTTTAAAATAGGCTTAGAGATTTTTTAAAACTTTCTAATAAATCAAGAGTAAAATTGGCCGGGCGCGGTGGCTCAAGCCTGTAATCCCAGCACTTTGGGAGGCCGAGACGGGCGGATCACGAGGTCAGGAGATCGAGACCATCCTGGCTAACACAATGAAACCCCGTCTCTACTAAAAATACAAAAACATTAGCCGGGCGTGGTGGCGGTGCCTGTAGTCCCAGCTACTTGGGAGGCTGAGGCAGGAGAATGGCGGGAACCCGGGAGGCGGAGCTTGCAGTGAGCCGAGATCGCGCCACTGCACTCCAGCCTGGGCGACAGAGCAAGACTCTGCCTCAAAAAAAAAAAAAAAAAAAAAGAGTAAAATAGTTTCAGTAAAATTTCCAGGCTAGAAAAAAAAAAAGGTCTGGAATCTTGCCCACGGAGAGAGGCAATTTCTATTTTTATTGCACATTTCAATGTCTTAAAGGACTAGTTGAGTAGAGAACAATTTCACACTGCCCGAGAGAGAAAGACCCAGCCTTTAGAATCATGGATACCTCAAAGAGAAAAAGGATGTAAGACATGCTTTCATTTCTTACATGAACTGAAATCAGTATGCTAACCTGAAAAAACACCACAGGCACTGTTCTATTGCAAAACTTCACTTCTTTATAGATTAGTGATTTTCAAGTCGGTGAATCTAAGTCTACACTACTATCCACTCTCAATGGGCCCACTAGACTATAGTCAATTGTACAGTACTGGCATTTCCATAAACATATTTTGACTAAATTCAATTTTAAAATGTAAAAACTAAATACAATTTGAGTTCTCATGCTCATCTCCAACCCCACTCAAAATCGAATTGTGGGTAAACAAGAAGCTTGTTACTGTTATGAACATTTATTACGGTAGAATTTAAAGAACCATGTATTCACATCCACTGGTACTTGAGCTGTACTTATATGCTCTTGGATGATTGCTATTGCATTTTCTAAAATGGCCAAAGCTTTTTATCAGAATGCCTCCCACACTAGGATCTTCTAGCAGCCTTTATCACTCACGAGAACTAAGTCCTGCTGCCCTAGGCCTATGGCACACACTGCATGTAATGAGTTAACTTCGGAGGGAAGTTATGCATCTAGAATGGCTGTAGTTATGCACCAGCCTGGAAAGAAGTGAGAAAGTCACTCGCAGTTTTCCAAAGGGCTAATTTCTCTCTTTCTCAATCTGGTTGAGAAAGTCTGCGAGGAGCTGTACGGAAAAGTTAGCATTTTTCAAGCCTAGGAGCCTGCCCAGTGAATCCTACAGCAAGCAGAATGTACTAATAAATTCTTTGTGTTTGACTGACACGAAAAACTAGCTGCATGCAGGAATCTGAGACTTGGAAATTGCATTCCTTTCATCAGATTGTTAGTGGAGCACCCTTTATGATAGAAAACAGAAAGTATGTCTGGAGTGTGGTCACAAATGCACCATGGAGAAGTTAATTTATAAAAAGAAATGCATTAAATTGGTCTTGCCGAACAAGGGCTAACGATACTCAGTAGAAGTTGGAGGTGAAAAGTGTGAGTAGAAACAGGTTCAACATGACCATCATTCATTTTATAAACAAATGGTGACCAAGATACTACAGCCGTGTGTGCAGGACAAAAAATTCTGCCGGCTTCCAGCCATGCCCACACACATAAACAGCCTTCCCTGTCAGGACAGCTCTGGTGTGGAGGGAGAAGGGGGCAAACAGCCTGCATGAGCACACACCCTCCCCCAGGCAGGGATCCCCAGACACTGATATTATTTACACTCCAGAAAGCAAACAGGCTGTCCACAAAGAAGGATTAGGAAGCTTGAAGTGTTTTTATTCTGTACTGTTTTTTTAAAGTGTTGATTGTCATAGATTCATCTGTATAAATAATTTTCCTGGCAACAGTAGTTCACTTTTCACTTCCCATTCAAAATCTTCAGAACTTCAAGTATTTGAATGCACTTAAAACTTTCCCCTGCTTTTGTTTTATATAATACATTCTCATTATAATTAGGTGACTCATGAAGTGAAAGAATTTCTTTTAAAAGAAAGTTCAAAATCTTTACTAGTATGCATTAGGACAAGTTAGCACTGTTTTGGCCACTAATCATTTTAACAGTATTTAGAGAAAGAAAAACACTATTTTTCTTTCATTTTTCCTGAAAGAAAGTGGGAGAAAATAGGCATATCTGTACCATTCAAAGCACAAAATAATCATTTAGAAAATAAATACCTACGGCATACCAGACACACTTTTATTTCAATTTCCTCAACTGTTTAAAAATGGCCTCAGGTGTGGCTGCGTCTCCACCTGCCTTCTGCCAGCAACCTCTGGGGCCCTTGCCCACTGAGCCTGCCTCTGCAGGGTAACTGCTCTTTGTCACTTGTCATGAAGCCTGAAGCTTGATATCCTGGGCTTCACATGCAATTTCGGAAACTCAAATGACACTACATAGACTTGCTGTAAATCTTTTTTTAGTGCAGTTTGGCAAATATCCCAAATGAAATTCAACTCTAAGTTAAAAGTATCAAACAGAGATAGAGCTAAGTGCCTCTATGACTCTCTGGGCTGCCCAGAGGCTCTGGAGAGCTGAGGAATAGCAAACCCAATTGCCCTGGCGCTGAAGGGACTGCAGGATACCTGTTGCTTTACCACAACAGAACAGTTACCCCCAGAGACAGCGCTCAGCAACCAGACTTCTGGGCTGCTGTGAAGATCTTAAAGGCCCACAACCCTTGTCCCCCCAATCCCCAAACTCAGAAAGTGGGAGTTAGCCCCCCTGTAACTCACAGTACTAAGAACAGCAAGCATTGAACACGGAAACCTGATCTCTCCTCCATCGTCCACCTCCTGGGACGCCAGGCGCTCACTTTCAGGTTCTATCTGCTGGTGGCAAGTGCACTTTGGTTTTGGTTTCTAAGAAAAGGATCACTACACAGCTGTCTGGAGGCAGGCACCCGGGCCCTAGATGGCCAAGTCCTCCGGCCTGGCCCGCCCACCGCTGGCCCTGCTGGCCCTGCTGGCCCGACCTGGGTCTCCGAGGAGCAAGGGCGGCGGGTGCATCTGAGCCGCGGTGGTCACGGCCTGCTCCTCCTCCTCGGGGGTCCCCGCCAGGGCGCTCCCCTCCAGACTGCTGCCGCTGCCATCCAGCAGCAGGGGCGCCGCGCCGGCCTCAGCCTCGTGCGTGGGCGGCTGGGAGCTGCTGCCGGTGGGGCTGGGCGCTGCGGGCGTGGGCGCCGCGGGGTAGGCCCTGAGCTCGTGGCGCTGCTGCTCGGCCGCCCGGCCGGCCCAGTTCTGCTCCGTCAGCGGCAGGTGGTGGCGGCCGTGGCAGAGCTGGGCGGACGGGCACCTTCCGCGCGCCTCGGTCAGCGCCAGCAGTTTCAAGTCCGCGGCTGGCGGCGGGACCCCGGGGTAGCCCAGGGCGCGGGCCTGTCCCGCGGGCGCGGTGTGCGCGTAGTAGGGCGGGAACCCGAGGGCCACGGCCGGGGGCCGGGAGCTGCGGGGCAGGGGCGGGGGATCGGCGGTGCCCGGCGGGGCCTCGGAGGCGTCCGGGCCGAGGCTGGTCATGCCCTGCTTGAGCTTCTTCCAGCCCAGGTGGTAGATCTCCAGCATGTTGAGCAGCAGCGACGCGCAGGCCACCGCCAGCATGAAGATGATGAAGATGGTCTTCTCCGTGGGCCTGGAGATGAAGCAGTCCACCGTGTTGGGGCAGGGCCAGCGGTCGCAGCGGTACAGCGGCTGCAGCTCGAAGCCGTACAGAAAGTACTGGCCGGCGATGAAGCCCACCTCCAGCAGCGTCTTGAAGATGATGTTGAAGACGTAGGTTCGCAGCAGCGCCCCGGCCATGCGCACCCGGCCGCGGTCCTCCCGCGAGGAGGGCCCGTCCTGCGGCGGCTCCGGGGGGCTGGGGCTGTCCGTCTTCGGCTGCTCCTCCTCCTGCCTGGCCTTCCTCTTCTCCTCCATGCGCACCAAGTGCAGCACGTGGCCCAGGTAGATGAGGGTGGGCGTGGACACGAAGATGATCTGCAGCGCCCAGAAGCGGATGTGGGAGATGGGGAAGGCCCGGTCGTAGCAGACGTTCTCGCAGCCCGGCTGCTGGGTGTTGCAGGTGAAGTCGGACTGCTCGTCGCCCCACACGTCCTCCGCCGCCGCCCCCAGCACCAGGATGCGGAAGATGAACAGCACGGTCAGCCAAACCTTGCCGATGACCGTGGAGTGCTCCTGGGCATTTTCTAGGAGTCTTCCCAGAAAGCTCCAGTCGCCCATGGCTTCAGATTCCTAACCTGTAAGAGGAGAACGTTCATTAACACCGGGCTGCAACGGCTCAGGGCCAGGGTTGGCACCCCTGGGCACGGCCCGATGGTACTGAGATGGGGCTGCTGGGCAGCTTCTCCACAGGGCAGGCATCGCAGCTCCCCAGGACCCGGACGAGCAGGCACTACACAAGTGCAAGCGCCCATGAGGAACCACAGGTTGAACTCTTCATTTCAGAGAGGAGGAAGCCAGCGCCAGAAGAGAAAATGCCCTCCGCTGGCCTCCAGGCTGCCCACATCCTCGCCCTGAGGCTGACCCTACAGGAGCTCCGGGGCTCCGCCCGCTTGGGCCAATTCTGAATCATGACCTTTCTGTTCTGGTGGGATCAGAGCAGCCTTTTCCCAAATTGCTGCCATCCCCATGCCCATGCCACCTTCAGAACTTCTGCCATGTTATTGATCTGATACCTCTCCTACTATTTGCTTTTTCCGTCTTCACATCAACTCTTTACGCTTAAATTTATCTAAACTAGCAAAGTTTACATTACTACTGTCAATGGAAAACTGGCACTAATACCTTCAATGGATGGTAGCTTTAAGAGTAAATATGTTCCAACTCAGTCAGCTGTATTTTGGAAATGAGGAAATAAAGGCTTACTCCCCCTTTTGAAAAAAGAATAAATTCCTTGATGACAAGGAAGTTGATACATTCTATGGGACATTGCTTGCTTGAGCTCTGGGTGTAAGCTCTATCTGTTGCAAAGAGGAAGATGAGGAGTACTGGAGAGGTGTTAAACAGACTAGTATCGAACCGAACCCCTCTCCAAGGCCACTATTAGGGTAGAAACAGAATTGATAAGGGAAGGATCTTCTCACACAGGATTCAGCATCAACTGACAACCACCTGAAATCACCTCACCTGACCGAGTGCCCACATCGGATTCTAGGCAGACCTGGAGGGGTGGTGGATGGGGGCAGAGGAAGCCCTTGGGGTGAACAGAGCTTGAGGATCCTGCCAGGACCAGGGGCCAGCTCAGCAGAGCCAGGCCTTCAGTGGCCGTCACCCAACAGCACTCGTGGGTACCCAGGATGTCTAGGGGTGGAAACAGCATGTCCAGACTCAGTCAGGGTGCAAGTGCGTGGAGCCCAGCCAGTGTGGGAGATGGCATGGATCCTCAGTCTTCTGGGTCAGAGTGCCCATGGGTGCTGGGCAGGGCTCACCAGCCACACCTGCCCCAGTGGTGTGACTCCAATGAAGGCAGCCCAAGGTGGGAGGTGGTACCAGCTGCAGGCCCAGCCCCAGGCCCAACTCAGCAAGTGTTAGGTAAACATCCCCAGGCAGGCAGCTTCCAATCTCCGAGCCTGTGTACAGCAGGGACCACGGTCATCCACAGGGATGGAGGGAGGTGAGACGGCCGCCTGCTGAGAAAGCAGCAGTGCCCGCAGACACAGGGGATGAGATGGCACCCCGTGTTGCTGCTGCCCCAACAGGCTGGATGCTGGGAATGGAAACAGAAAGACAGCTCCATGCTTTGCAGTGAGGAAAGCAGTCTCAGCTGTGAGGACACAGTCTCTAGTGGAACCAAAGAAAACACTTGTCATTTTCGATTTTAAAATATTTCAGGTTGGGCGCGGTGGCTCACACCTGTAATCCCAGCACTTTGGGAGGCTAAGGCAGAAGGATCACTTGAGGTCAGGAGTTCGAGAACAGCCTGGCCCACGTGGTGAAACCTCATCTCTACTAATAATACATAAATTAGCCAGGCATGGGGGAGCGCGCCTGTAGTCCCAGCTACTTGGGAGGCTGAGGGCAGGAGAATCACTTGAACCTGGAAGGCAGAGGCTGCAGTGGGCTGAGATCACGCCACTGTACTCCAGCCTGGGTGACAGAGCAAGAGTCCGTCTCAAACAAAATTTTTAAAAAAAAAATACTAATTTTTATGAATTGGTTCAAAGGCAAATAAAAGAAAACTCAACTCACTAACAATCTAAAGAAACAGACGAATGTTAACTCTCCCTCAGAATAAACTCCCAGCGTTTCGCTTGGGCCCCTGGAGCTCTTAGACAAGCTGACTATTCACTCATCCTCCCAGTCTCTCGTCTCCTATTGTGGCTGGCATCTTTTCTTGTGTTCTAAGGAGGAGGATGTTTTACTTTAGAAACTTAATTACTACACTTGAAACCACTCAGTCACCCCATGAAAGACGTCTGGGAACCATTTTAGGTCACTTCCTGCTTCTCCTCCAAGTGTCCCTCTGGGCTGGGACCAGGCCCCCAGTGGCATCTATGCCCCTACCTGCCCAGGCGTCTGGGTAGACACTGCACAGGACAAAACCATGATAGCACGCAAGACCCATTAGGACCTGGGCCCAGACACACTGAAGCCTGAAACTCCACCTTTACGCCTCCGCACATGCTGTTTCTCCAACCTAAAGCCCCGCTCCGTCTAGCCACTGCCTGCTGACCTGCCCCTTGCCTCCACAGTCCCCTAAGGGGTGGCCACCTCAGGCCTACAACGGTGCCCTGGGTTCTCTCCCCCCCTTGCCACGCCCTGATTTAATGGCTGTCACCTCCTCCCAACACCCTCCTCTCCACCCCGCTCCAGCAGGTTCTCTCCATCCTCCCACAGCTCCACCTGCCAAGCTCTCCCAGGCAAGAGCAGCCTCTGGGCTCTAGAGAACACCTGCCCCCTGTGCCCTTCCCCTAGGCCTGGCTCTGAGGGCAGGGCTGGCATGGGCGTCCTTTCCTGTTCCCTGTCTACAGGTGGAGCAGCAGGGTGATGTGCTTTCCAGAGGATTCCGAGGAGAGGCCGCTGTGGGTAGCTCATTCCCCTTCCAGCAGCCTCGCACATGCTCCAGCAGTTCTTGCTACACGAGCTGCTGGGACAGGGGCCTCGCTGGCTCCCAGCACAGGGCTGATGGCACAGAGCACCATGAGGGAGGGGCCTGCTGCCCGTCACAGACTGGACAATGCTGCTGGCCTTTCCCTGTGGGGCCAGTGGAGGCAAAATGTTCTGCCATGTTTGGGGTGACCTCACAGGAAAGAACTGTCCCACCCCAAATGCCCATCGTGCACCTGCTGAGAAACACGGGGCCAAATAACTACTTATTCAATTGGTAAACCAGACGATAGGATGGGGAAGCTGACTGCAGCGGCTCAGCCTGCTCCAGATCCTTCAGGCCCAGGGGCTGCAAAACACTCTAATATATGCCCTTGGAAGAGACTTGTGACCTCGGAGTGCAACCTACAAGAACGATGACCAGCCACCAGCCAGAGCCTTGCTTGTGCCCCATCAGGGGCCAAGGCTGTCTCCCAGAGACAGGATGACAGAGTGTGTGTCCCGAACAAGAGCATCCAGCATTCAGACACTGCGTGTGGTAGCACACCAGGGATCTGTGTGGATCTTTCTGGAAAAGAATGAGAGGCATGAACCTAACAATACCTTTGACCTCTAATTCTACTTCCAGGACATCCTACTAAGGATAAACGTGTGTGCATGGCGTGTTGTGATGTTACTCATAAGGAATGACTGGAATCAGAAATGGCTGGTAGAGGATGAACAGTTACCTGAGCAGTGCTGGCTGGCCATGGCTGACACCGTGCTCTGGCCGACCCAGCTTCTACCCCCATCCTTCTCTCCCTCGCCTGACTCTAATGTGACTGGGAAGGGAAATGTTTGCTTCTTCATCCTCCCTTGTGGCTGGAGGTGAATAGAAAAGGCAGTTCTGTCCGGTGAGGTGTAAGATGTCGGCTGGGGAACGTCTGGGAAAGCTTTGGTTTTCTAAGAAATGGGCAGGTGGTATTGTGCCATCCTTTCCCTTTCTTTTCCACGTACAGACGTGGTGCTGGAGCTGGGCAGCCGCCTGGCAAGCATGAATCAATACGCATGGGAGGTTGGTTAAGAGAGTTCGAGGGCACCTGCTGTGAACTGTGGCACTGCCCCGCCAGCCCCATTAGCCGCCTCCAGATTTCTCATGAGAGGGGAAAATCTTATTTGTTCAAATTAGGTTTCCTGTTGCTTGCAAGTGAAAAAGAATTCCTAACCGATACACTATCTTAAATGCTTCATGAAATAAAGCCTGGTAAAAATGAAAAGCTATGGTTCATTTATAACTACTAAAATATGAAGGAGCCATTAGATGTAATTTTTCAGAACATTAATGACATGAAACATTACTGGTGCTATGATAAGTGACAAAAGCTTAGGACAACACAGCAGTCTGATACCAGCTATTTTATACACTCTCTTACATGGACACAGGAAAAGGAAAAATGATACTGAAATGTTAACAGTGGTGCTCCTGAGAATGGGGTGATTTTTCTTTTCACAGTTCTCTGCATTTTCTATGACAACATATCACACTGCTCATCATAAAAGATGAATGACCATGGCTTTCATTTTTCGAAGTTGTAGTTTTTGAAAAAATCAGCTGACTCCTTTTTCATTGTTCTTTCATTGTGGTTTCTACTCCGTTCATTGCTTTAATCATGTCTGCAGTAAGCACACAAACAAATACAATACACTTTGCACGCTTCACCCAATGTCAGAGGATAATGACTGCGGGATCACTGAGAGTTTAGACTGGATTCCATCCTCCTGCCTGGCAATCTCCCACATCAGGCGCAGTGTTTGGAGAAAGCAGTTTCCCCAACAGACCCTAAGCGAGCAAGGACAAGGGTGTCCATGTCCCCGCCACTCATCTGAGCCTCACTACTACACTTCACAATTTGGGTTTTGTTTTGTAAAACACATGCAGGAATAAATGAAATTTTAACCAGAAGACAGACAATCTATCTGGGAGACTGACAACTGGATCCTGATCAGACCTGTGTGGAAGCCTCCTCAGCAGACGCGGCAATCACCCCGCCACCATCAGACTTTAGTTGGCTCTGGATGACATGTAGAGGCTCTGGAGGCATTTTACCAATACCATGTTTTTCTGTTTCTGTTTTTTTGTTTCTTTTTGTTGTTGTTGTTGTTAGAGACAGAGTCTCACTGTCGCCCAGGCTAAGGTGCAGTGGCACGGATC